GGTCTTCAGTTGGCCGATTGTTTGTTGGTTGAACAGAAACTGACCTTGCCTGTGACCTTGTAGTAATACCTGATGTGCTCGGTGTACCTGGATCGCTTAACAATCTCAGGTTACAGACAGGACAATACGGTCGTATTTTCTCACATTTTGCTAAACAACTTTTATGAAACGAATGTCCGCAGTTGGTCCGCAGAAAATGAGACTTCGTTGTTATCTGTGCTGCACATACGCCACATACAGGGTTTGAATCCGCAGTAGCTTCTGGCACTAAATCCTGAGTTCCTGGTTCTACCGACATATCGACAAATTTAGCTCAACTAGACTGAATGATCCAAATACAAAAATGGAAATATTTTCTGAGCACAAAGCAATAGACAGTTTCCAAGCAATATCAGAAAACTCTGTAGAAACACACCTAGTAACTGTGAGTCCTGTAGCAAAAACGCAGTTCGAAAAGGTTAAGATCAATAACAATTTCCCAAGGGAAATTATATTCAGATGAATTTGGTAAGATAATGATTATTAAACGGACTCATTCGAATTCTACTGATTTTATGGAAACAATTTATAAAATCAGACGCAACCAAAACGAAAGAATGGCATAAACAAGTTGAGAAAATTTATATATAAAAAAACTAACGATAAATTAGTTGCTACCGAAACAAGAAAATGGAAATCTATTATCTGATATAATCAGATCAATCAATGTTTAATAGAAATTATTTCAAAACGTTGCCAACATAAACTTAGCCAATTCGTATAGCACCACAATAAGATCAATAAACATCTGGTTCGGTGTCCAATTAAAGCAGTATTCAATACTTCCAATCAATGTGATTTTAATTGATTTAAACTTTCAAAATAATCTATCAAGAACAAAATGGTTATAAGATACTACTTCTTTACTTCAATGTAAAACTATGCCAGAACTAAAATATGTAAAAAAAAATTTACGCTGTACCAAAAAAAAATTCTTCTGTATGATTTTTCTTATCTGTTTGTTAGCTTTTAAATAGTAGGATGGGTTTGCCAATAATGACTCCATTTGGGTAAGTTGAGATAGATGAAAGGAACGAATCACAAAGTATTCAAACGCTGGTATAGATGTGTTAATCTATAATTCCAGACGAATGTTTGGGATTATGAGATACTGTTCAAAACTTTCGCGGTCAGATCTAGCGATAACTGTGATCCAGAATCCGAATTCCAACGAAACTTTTGGAATCACTAACATCATAAATTGAGAAGTAGGAAAGTACAAGAAACTAGTGGTCAATACAGGATAAATATCTGACCTTGTATGCATTCCAACTAGTTTCCACATACTTTGAATGAACAACAAAACACAATGTTATCAAAAGGAAAACATAGATAATTAATTTGTGGTAAACCCGAACAAATGTGGTGAAAGCACCAGGTGTTATTAAAGTATTCGTTATTATCATTCGGGCCCCACGTTGGGCGCCAATTTATATTCTGTAGCATATAACTTATTAGAATGTATGGCTGATGTTGTTGGGAAGACATATGAAGGATATGCACGGGTCATTCCAGCCTTGTAGCTCGTCGGAGGGGAGGTTCGAATAACTTCATGTCTCCCTTTGCCACGCATCTGCTATCAAATATGAATATATACGTGCATTTTTTTTACAAAATTAAGTCATTTAGGAAGTGGAAAATAGGAAAGAAGGTCAAAGGAACATTAGAAACACTGAAAGAAAGTACAAATAAGATATAGTTTACCCATGGAGATACAAAGGAAAGAGACCTAAATTAGATCAGACAGCGAGATGGTATACTGTCCGAAGAGCCCACCCAACCGTGATTGCAACCATTTGTATAGTAACCCAAGATTCGAATTTACGTCACAATCCCCAAATCTCTTCTAGGACAAACCCATGTCTACATATAATAGCCAACAAACAGATGTAATTTCAGATCTATTCCATATTCAATTTTTTATTCGCTAGTAATTCATAATAAACCTTCATAACATCTTAAAAATAGTAATTTCATTTGAAAATAGCAAAACCTTACACAATAATTAAAGTCTACAATATATAAATATAAAAAGTATAAATCCTCATCGATTTGTATAATAATTACGATTTTTTATAAATTTCAACAGCATTCAAACTAATATAAAATATGACTGAGTGTCTACACAACAAGGTACATCAGTATGCTCATTATCTTCAATGCATTAAATAATATAATCTGCACGATATTCCATGATAATTATCTTCAAAATAAACGTTTAAAATTGTCATAGAAAATCGGTTGATTTAAAACGAAAACTCTCGTAAAATGTAACGTGTGCAGTTATGCTGAGTAGGAAACCAAAATCTGTCTCCTCATTAGTCGAGATCAAAATACTATGAAGGTGACCATTAATAAATATATGAATAATTTGCAGAAATGTGCTTTAATAACAATAATCTTAACTGTGGTACATCAAAATGTATTTTCATCACAATTCTTTTATATCATTGCTGGCCACTTTCTTATATTTTAATCTCAACAAAAAAACATGGAATAATAATAAAAACAAAACAAATTAGCTGACTTACGGTTACCGCAGAAGTCCCTCGCTGAAAGTACTTTCAAAGAGCGCTGTCGGCAGAGCTGTCAATTTCCAAAAATAAGAGATGTGGAGAGTTTTGTATTCAGCATACATAAATGGTACTCTCAATTATGATATTAACTTATCTGAGAGGTTGGCTGTTAACACATACTAAGAGAGTTTAGCATTGATGAGAATGATCACTGGTTAAACATACATTGGAAAAGCTGTACATTTATCAGCATCTTAAACATTTAACATTCGTTTATATTATTAACATATGTAATGTAACACAACATAAGACAGAAAATCATCACCCGCAACTCATAACAGCAGCTTTCATAATGCAGATCGATTAATAATGTTAATGAACACTTTACAACTTGTATGTAAGATTGATTGTTGCGATTGACGATGTTCTTGTTTTAAGTTGTGTTAACAATCACATTTCTGTTTTGCACTGTCTCATTCTTCTTTCATTTAAGTTGTTGTTGTAAAACAAAACCAGCAAGTATTGATGAAATCGGAATGGGCAAAAACACTCAAATATATTTTGTTGTTGTTTTTTTTTTTCTTTTTTTTCAAGATCCTAACCTATAAAGCTAAGTTATGTAATCTTCTGTTTTTTTCTCTTTACGGCACTTAACACTATTAGTAATTATTCTTAATTCGATTAAGATGGATTTTAGCAGAATTTTGGTTCAAAATGGCTATTGTTGTTGTTTAACACTAGGTTTTACTTATTTTACTTTTGTTTGCATTTAACCTCACGTTGATATCACTGCATACATTATGGCAAGGCCTTCTAACCACTTCGAGTACCACTGAATTTTTATATCGAAATTTGGGTGAATCCACTCAACCTGTTCCCCAATTATTGTTATGTTTCATCACTTTTTTATAACCTCGTGGTTTCAGTTAAATACTCCCGAATGTATGGTTTTCGGCGATTGGACAGACAGACCGTACACTTAGTGCAATACACTTTGACTGTTCGATGCCTGCTGATCTAGCTTTAGATGAGGCGATTTACGATATTACGCAAAAGCTTCCATCAATATCTCACGTATACAGCTTTTCTCTCGAGTAACAAAATATCATTCGGCCTATCAGAAATGAATAATTAATAAATGAGAGAATAAATTTTATCGTAAGATTAATAAATTACCGATTGCGGCAATTAAGCTCTCCAAATGAAATGGATAAAGAGCATCAATATCGAATGACCCAATAGGCTAATTGGTCGATTTTGCCAATCACAACCGCAAATGCCCAAGACAACTGGACAAAAAAGGAGATAGTAGAAAAACTTATACTCAACTTTTTAAATAAAAAACTTTAGAACCAAATACTTACAAAATGATTGATGACAACGTGGATTTTAGATAGATAAAAATTTCATATCAAAAATGTTCAAATTCAACAAGAACAGCTACAACCAAAAGGAAATCTGATTTGTATAACTTCAGTTCGATTTCAAGATGTTGACTGTTTAACTGGTGGATGACAAAATGGACGAAATCTTTGCCGGCAATTAAAAAGAAACCTAGCTGACGCGGTCAAGTAGCGCAATCCTTCCATGAAAATTGGTAAAATCATAAATATAAACGATGGTAGAATGGCAAATAATTGAAAGGGAATTTTGGTAAACAAAAGGAACATCAGAAGCAGATGTCGCTGGCTTCATTTTCGTTACAAAACTGATTTTAAAAATTTAATATAATAACTAAATTCAAACCAAAATATCTGCACAGGCAAGCGCCATTACATTATCGGAACAAGGAATGCTTCGTCAAGCAGGGGAAGTTGAGCGGATCAGGCTTCTGCTAACTGCTCTGTTTGCAACTTTTCGACGTCGAATTTCCGTATTGTTTTAGATCACACCTTTGCTACTACATTAAGACGAGTGCGAACCTTGGCTGCTACAGGGTAGTGGTCCGACTTTATATTCTCTCCTCGGATCGATCCACACTGGATGAATTCCTTCCGTCTATCACAACATGATCGATTTGATTTCTCGTTGTAAACAAAGTACAGACCGCATTTATAATCCGATTGGGATGATATTTGGTGCAGCTCATTTATTTGGCCGAAGGACGAACCCTAATGAAATTGATTAAAACTGGTTCAGATTTAGATATATCTCCCACATATATATTCGTCCGATTTTAAGTAAACGGTGCACAAAAGTCCCTATATTTCTTTCGATTTACAAGATATGCAATTTTTCACAGATTTCAGAATGGTATGTGTATGCGGTTATTTAATTGGTTCAAATATCTATATATCTCACATATTTAATCTCGTACGATTTCATTCTTTTCTATCTACAGGGTATTGTATTGTATCTTGTAGGTACCCAAAGTAAGAAATAAAACAATTTCATTTGTTACTATTATTTTTATTTACTTCCACTCCATATCAATAGTTCGGATCGTTTTTCACAATTCATCATCATATTCATCTTCAGCTTCGATAAACGAAAACATACTACGTGCCGATGTACCAGCTGGCCCGGGTGGTCCAGGTGGACCCATTAAACCTGGTGGCCCTGGCTGGCCTGGTGGTCCACGAGCTCCAGGAAAACCTCGTCTTCCTCTCAGTCCATGAGGTCCTTGCATACCATTCGGTCCATCACGTCCATCTGGTCCCGGTGAACCTTGGGGTCCTTGTGTACCGGCCGGTCCAATGTCACCAGTTGGTCCTCTCGGCCCTTTGTTACCCATTGGTCCGGGCAGACCTGGTGGACCCGGCGGTCCTGGTGGTCCTTGTTGTGTGTAGTATATTTGTGGTGGATTTCGTGGCCGTCGTTGCAATTCCTCCGTAGCCAAGGAGAATCCCAAAAAGCCTTTTGGAAGAAATATGATTTGTTATAGACATTCCGAAATAGTTGTTTTTAAGAATATGTTTACCTATGAGCAGCAGTGTAAGATGTCTCATTGTTGTAAGTGAACTAACCTCAATGGCTAAAGGGCAAGTGCATTTTATAGAAATTATTTTCCTTTTGGTTAGAATGGATTGAATTTAAGTGCATTAAGGTGTTTGATGGACTTGTTTCACCATTGATTTATGTGGTTTAGAATTTTATGATGTCATTTACAACAAATTTATTGCTTTTGTTGTTTTTCTATGTTTTGTCATCTTAGAAGACTATAAAAATGTCAACTATTAACAACATTAACGCATCAGATACGACGAGTGTGGGTTGTTATTGTCATTGATTAGAAAAGTGTCGTATTTACACTGATTTAAACTTTGTAATGGAGTAATTAATATTGTTAGACAGATGAAAGAAATGAGAACATGCAATAAATATAAAACTAAAAATCTCATTAAACTATTTTATGAAATCTTCTCCATACGTATATTGATGACTCCCTTGGATCGTGGATACTCTTGTGTATTTTTCTCACGAGCGCATCATAAACAAATGGTTGAGATCGAATTATTGACCAAGACGATTCTATCGTCCATGATCCAAAGCGCCCTATATCTTTCGATTTTGGTATAGCGTACTGAATTATGTCTAGAATGATGTGTGCAAAGTTTCGTGAAAATCGGATCAGATTTACAAACATCTCCTATATATATTTTCGTCCGATTTTAAGTAAATGGTGCACTAAAGACCCCTAGCTAGACCGTTTGATACAACGTACTGAAGTTAATATAAATTAATCTTTGGCAAGTTTCCTTGAAATTGGTTCAGATATAGATATAGCATAGCTTCCATATATAATTTCGACTTACTCATTTTTATTGTACACCAAATAATCAATGGGTGTTTGATTGAGATTTAATTTTAAACAGTGCAGCATACCGAATAGCGTGTGTCAAGTTTGCTTTAAATCGATTTACAAAATTTAGCATAGGTTGCAAAATGACATGTGTAGGAATTGATGTTAGTCGGTTTAGATATATATAAATATCACATATTTAAATTCGTTCAATTTCATGTCAATGTTCCTTCGAAAAGGCGACGTCTTTTAGGATACATGTGTAGAATATACCAAAGGTGGTGAAGGGTATCATATAGTCGGCCCAGTTCGACTTTATTACTTTCCCTAGTGGTTTTGTGCATATGTTTACAACAGGCAAAAGGAAACGAGATAGACACATGGTTCCTTTTGAGAATATGCATAGAATCACTTTTTAAGTCGATTTTTGCATGTCCGGCCGTCTGTCCGTCTGTCGATGTTAAATTGTAAACAAAGTACAGGTCGCATATTTGATTCGAATTGGATGAAATTTGGTATAGGTCACAGACGAACCCTATTGGGAAAATCGGTTCAGATTTAGATATAGCTCCCATATATATTTTAGTCAGATTTAAGGTAAATGGAGCCTCAAAGCCCCCTTTATTTCTTTTGATTTGCACGAAATTTTGCACAGCGTACTGAATTGAGTCTGGAATGATGTGTGCTGAGTTTCGTAAAAATCGGTTCAGATTTAGATATAGCTTCCATATTATCGATCGATTGTAAGTAAATGCACCAAAGACCCTATATATGGCTGATAGGAACAAAACGTACTGTAATTAGTATAAACTAATCCGTGACAAGTTTCGTTAAAATCGGTTCATATTCGGATATAGCTTCCATATATAAGTTCGTCTGATTTTAAGTAAATGGTGCACAAAACTCCTCATGTTTGTTAGATTGACATGAAATTTGCACAACGTACAAAATTGAGCATAGAATAACGCAGTTGCGCTTTGTAGAAAAACAAACATAGCCCGACGGATGTCCGATTGGTATTCGCTTGAAATCGATTTACATAATTTTGTTCCATTGTAACAAACGAATGACATGTTTATGGATTGATATAGTCGGTTCACATTAAGGTAAAGATCACATATTTTAGTTCATCCAATTTCATTTTAATGGCCCTTCAAAAATGCGACGTCTTTTAGAATGCATCAGTTGAATATACCCATAGTGGTGAAGGGTATAATATAGTCGGCCCTGTCCGAATTTACTTTTTACTGGTTTTTTCAATAGATCTTTCAAGATTTAAGAAAGAGTTTCATGGCTACTTCTAATAGGATGTTTTTAGTATCTAGTATGGGATATATCACTTTACGTTTTTATGGCCTCTATATAACACTTGGATCTTAGGAACATTTCCAAGTAGAACATTTTCAATTATGTTCCCCCATTCGCACTTTCAACCAATGTTTCTGAAATTTTATATTTTATAGGATAAGAAATATCATAGCTGAAAATGATCAATATAAGAGTCCTGAGTTATTTTGGGCATTTTTCATACTCTAGCTTTTTTAACTATAGTGAATATAATTGGAGATCTCGTGTTCTCGGATAGAATAAGAGAAAATAATATGTTTGGTATTGAAAATAGTATATATTGGTTCACTTTTTGGTATAGGACCCCCTAAATATTTGATATAAGTAGGGTTTCTTTCCATTTTTTGACCAAATTTGTTGTAATTTGATACATTAAGTTGTAATACAACAAATTATCGATATCGGCCCACTTTTCTGAATTGCCCCCATATCAAAATTTACCGCCATTTACGAACGAATATTGGCATATTAATGGTTCATGGTATTTATTTATCACGTTAATTTTCGAACATTTGTTTAAGGTAGTGTTGGAGGGTTATTTGAGATACCATTTGTATTTTTTTTTTTTTTTTGCAGTTTGTTCTTTTTATAAAAACAACTATTTTTTTAGCTTTTTTGAACGACATATATTACTTTTCAGTGAAATATTGGAAAACAAACGAAGATACATGTCATTGGACGCTTCGATGAGAGAAAATTGTTATACATCTTTGAATATCAGGTCGTTGTCTCTTAAAATGAATCTAAAGAAATTAAGTTGACTACGTACTTCTATACGCAGGATGATGATGAACAATTATGAACAATTGAAATTAGCCTTCAGCAATGGTAAAACTGTGCTAAGGGAAACTGGCGGTTGGAGAGGAAACAGGAAGTTTCTGGTCCACCCCAATCGTGCCTTCCGCCACTTCAATGAAATGAGAGAGATCCCCTTGGTCGAGATCAAGCAGAACACATTCTAGATCGTTTATTCTGAGCAGGGTCCGTAATATCTGTTCGTCCATTTCCTACTCAATCTCGGAAGATCAGATCTCGGAAGATGTGGTATGTTTTTTTCAAAGAGTTTTCAGATTTATTGTTGATCAAATCGGTTATTAAATTTTCTTCAATTTAAAATTTAAATACTATCCCTTTCTGGGGGAGAACTTGATAATAAGAAGTGGATTAATGGGCCTCATCTTCGAACTTGATCTAGGCTTGGTAAAGATAATAGGTTGTGCAAATTTTGGTTCAAATCGGACATTCCAATTTCTCCGGATACGGTATTTATAAATATTGAAAATGTTGACCCTTTTGTGTGGGAGGTACCAGAAGGAGTGTACCAATGAGTCCCATCTTGTACATATGTTTGTAACTGGCGAAAGGAAACGAGATAGACACATGGTTCCTTTTGAGAATATGCATAGAATCACTTTTTAAGTCGAGTTATGCATGTCCGTCCTCCGTCTGTCTGTCCATGTTAAATTGTAAACAAAGTACAGGTCGCATTTATGATCCGAATTGGATGAGATTTGGCACAGCTCATTTATTTGGCCCAAGGACGAAACCTATTGAAATTGGGAAAAATCGGTTCAGATGTAGATATAGATCCCATATATATTTTCGTCCGATTTAAGGTAAATGGTGCACAAAAGTAACTATATATCTTTCGAATTGCACGAATTTTGGCATAGCTTACTAAATTAAGCCTACAAAGATGTGTGTTAAATTTCATGAAAATCGGTTCAGATTTAGATATAGCTCCCATATATATTTTCATCCGATTTAAGGTAAATGGTGCACTAAAGTTCCTAAATATCTTTCGATTTGCACGAAATTTGGCACAGCGTACAGAATTAAGTCTAGGGTGATGTGTGCTTAGTTTCGTGAAAATCGGTTCGCATGCAGAATGATGTGTGTAAAGTTTTCTGAAAATCGATTAAGATTTAGATATAGCTCCCATATATATTTTCGTCCGATTTTAGGTAAATGGGGCACCAAAGCCCCTATATACCTTCCGATTTGCACGAAATTTGACATAGGGTACTGAATTGAGTCTAGAATGACGTGTGCAAATTTTCGAGAAAATAAGGTCAGATTTATATATAGCTTCCATATATATTTTTTCCGATTTTAGGTAAATGGGGCTCCAAAGTCCCTATATATCTTTCGATTTGCACGAAATTTAACACAGTGTACTAGATTGAGTATAGAATGATGTCTGCGAAGTTTCGTAAAAATCGGTCCAGATTTAGATATAGCTCCCATATACTTTTTCGTCCGATTTAATGTAAATGGTGCAGCAAAGTCCATGTATATCTTCTGATTTGCACGAAGTTTTGGATAGTGTACTAAATTGAGTTTAGAATGACGTGTGCCAATTTTCGAGAGATTCGGTTCAGATTTATATTTAGCTTCCATATATATTTTCCACCGATTTAAGGTAAATGGGGCTCCAAAGCCCCTACATTACTTTCGATATGCACGAAATTTAACATAGAGTACTGAATTAGGTCCAGAATGATGTGTCCTAAGTTTCGTGAAAATCGGGTCAGATTTAGATATAGCTCCAATATATATTTTTGTCCGATTAATGTAAATTGTGCACTAAAGATCCAATGTTTGGCCGACTTGCACACAATTTTGTGCAATGTACTGAAGTTTAGTATAACCTTTTCTTGAAATTGGTTCAGATTTACATATATCTCCTATATATACTTTCGTCCAATTTTAAGTAAATGGTGCACTAAAGTCCCATAGCTAGACCGATTGACAAAACTTACTGAAATTAATATAAAATAATATCTGGCAATTTTCCTTGAAATCGGTTCAGATTTAGATATAGCATAGCATACATATATAATTTCGACCTATTCATGT